AATTATATATTCATAATATTCAACGCTCAAACTAATTATCTGCCACGACAACATTAAACCCCAAAAGTCAGATTTTATCAAAACATTTGAGTGTAACCACTTATTTCACTGGAACTTAGAGAAGCACAAATTGACATGCACAAATCTAGTACCAACTACCAAGAGAAAAGGGAAAGGCTCTAACAATTCTGTTTGATTACTCCTAGCGTTCCTAAATAAGTTTCCAGCTGAGAAATATGACAGTTTAATGGTGGTAATATTTTTTTTCACAAATTGTCAAACATACCCCTATTAATTTTTAGGTATTAAAAGCAGCGATCTAAAGTAAATGTTAATATGTGAGGGAAACTTAGTCATTTTAGTATGTCTTTTTTATTAGGTTACTAAGTTACGACTCATTGATGAACAAACTGTATTTCCTTGATGTACAGTAAACGTCTTTAAGAATGGAGTGAGTCTATTAATGAATCTTGTTTTGCAGATTGGAGAGGGGTGTCAACGTGTTCAAGTAAACAATGCTATTATGCTATCATCAAGGCTGAAAAGTGAAAACATACTGTGATGGGACAAGTGGTGTGTAAACAATATTCGGCTCCACAATCTGACCTAGTACCAGTACACCCCCACCAGCATTACTTCCTCTAAGACAATGAGAGAATACATTTGGGACTATTCCGTGTGATGAAAGTTGTGAGATAACTGACATGCTTTGTTGCCCAAATCCAAAGATTCCATCAACTGCTCGATCAGGTTTTGCCAAATCCTCGACCTGATATGTGCTACATCTGTCATGTCAGAAAATACATTAAAAGCACTACCAAAGAGGGAACAAAGTACTCCTTTCCAAAAAAGGTTCGTAGTTTGATAAAACAAAGCTGGTTTTTTGAGTAATTTCCAAAATAAGTCAAGTAAACGTTGATGATAAATTTAACTAAACTGGCCCAAAAATTAATTGTAAGAACTTAAGAAGAATCTCTTATTTATCGCAGATGTACCTTACCAATTTAAAGGTCTATCTTGGTCAAACATGATTTTCTTTTTTGTGATGGAGGCACTATTCAAATAATATTAAATCTTCCAGCTTAGTAATTGCACATATATAACAAGATAGCTTACCCAAAAATGACTTGAGCTGAGGAGTTAGAAATTGATGAAGAACCAAAAACGGCGTCCAAATGGATAAAGTCAGCTACATAATAACCTGAAGTTCCACTGCCATCACCATACTGAAAGGTATAGCTACATTGATTCTCAGCCGAACACCCAGTGTCAGAAGACTGTTTCCCAAGAGCACACCTTCGGTCAGAGCAAGAGATCAATGATGCTGTTGAAGAGCTTGCTGGGTCAAAGAACTCAAGTTGTATCTGTAAGAATAGAACATGTGCTAGTTTTATAACACAAGGAGCATTCTCAAATGTAAACCAAATTAACACTTTTAAGGTTTTGAAATAAGAGGAAGAAGGCTGTGTTTATTATAATTGATAACATGTGGTAGTTTTATAGCACATTCAGTATTCTCAAATGTAAACCTAATTAACACTGGGTTTCAATCAAGAAAAAGAAGGCTGTGTTTATTATACCTGAAGCCCGCTAGCTGTAGGACAACCATTACAAGAAGCACAACTAACCCATAAAACATCACTTCCAGTATCGATCTGTACGTAGAATTCTTTCGGAGGAGAACCCAACTGAACACGAGTATAGTAAAGCCTAAACGAAAATAAATGTTGTTGGTTTCGAAATGCTTCTCAATATTTTCAGAACCATTTATTTCAGATTTCAAAGTAGAATGATAAATACACACAAAAAAACTTAAAAACTAGGACATAAAGAAAAAGTAAATCTACATCTCCCTCCATACCAAAAAAGGAATCCAGTTTGATCAAGCGTAACTAATTTGTCATGTAATTTGTAAAGTTGCATATTGTAAAAATAAAAAAATATTGCTCATGATTTATTATAGTTCCACCTTACCAAAATTAAAATATTGCATCAGTCAAACAACACTCTTTTGGAATGTAGGTATTTATGATTATCACAACTATTCCCACCACATTTGTCATAATATAGTCCAACTTGATATCTTAAGGAACTTTTTAACAAAAAGAATTACAATACCAATTGCAGCAACAAAAGATACAACCTTTGAAAACATAAAATTTCATTTATGTTCTTGAATCATCCAGTAATTGAAATAAAGAGAAATAATAACATTACCCAACAAGAGAAGGATCAAAGGTTCCTTGAACTGAGAAATCGACCACACCGCCTAAAGCAGACTGCAAGATTCTTCTGTGCCTTGTTTGGTCATGTGCTCTAAGCCGTGTCATCTCAACTCTATGGCTCATGGGGAACGCTCTCTCTAAAGGAAAACTCAATGTCTCTCCACCACAGAGAATTCCAGACTCTGACCCCAGTAAAGCAGCCACCACAACAGCCATAACCACGAGATGTCTCAAACTCATTCTTGATCTACCAGTGTGTGCCTGCTTGATGTACACAACTTTCTCAATGGATACATAATATTCAGTTATCCAGACAGCAGAAGGCATAGAAGTGTGGTAATGCTTCTATTTTATACAAAAAATTGGGGGACTTCCTACAACTCAAGTTCCAATTTTGTTGGTTTTAATGATCCAGACACATGTAATAGGGTAATTCCACATGACATGAGAAATCTACATGTTATTAGCTTACACTAACTTCAATTAATTAGAGCGATAACCCAGTTTTCTACTACCTTTCGGCTCCTCAAAAGGCCTTGGTAGACGGTTGAGCTATGTTAACCTTAAAAAAATGCAACAAACAAAGAAATGTTTGCCCAAAATCATCCCTTTCTCACAGTTCTGTCTTTACTGTCCATCAGCCTCATTCACAGAAAGTTTCCAATTTCATAGAAAGAAGAAGAACAAAACTCGAAATTTCAGTGATGGGTCACTGGATCAGCTATGAAGGATCAAATTTCATACCAGTGGCTGCGCAAATCTACTGCTCGCCAGGTGCTTTGTAAACAAACTGTATCTTTGCCGGTGCAGAAATATATGGTTGAAAAATTATTTATACCAAGAGCGGATGTTTGATGCAGAGGTGACTCAGAGCATTAGAAAAAGAAAAAAGAAAAAAAAAGCAAATGTACAAGTATGTCTCTCTAGAAAGTGTCGAAAAAGATCAATTTATATTATGGATGCCTAAAGATGCAATTGTAAATAAATTTGAAAAAAAATATTTAAATAAAAGTTAAACATAACAAAATTCAATGAATTTTTATCTTTTTATTTTTTTAACAAAATTACATAAATTATACTACCTCCGTCCCGGTGGACAGTGGACTTTGCCAAGTGCAAAGTGGGTGAGAAATAAGGAAAATGAAACTGTGTGGTTGAAATTTATGCAAAGAAGAAAGAAATGTGTAGAACCACAAATTAGTTGCTTTAATTGAAAAGTGACAAAGTTTTTTGGGACAACCAAAAGGGGAAAGTTGACAAAGTCCAACGGGACGGACGGAATATGTTAAAGGAAGAAAACACTTTTAATCGTATTTTCTGATTTTTTTTTCCACTAATTAAAAGTAGGTGTTTCAAAGTCCCACTCTAAGTTACGGTTCTCTCTTCTCTCTAGAGGGTGAGGAACCCTAGCGGTTGTCTCCCCTTTTGTAGAGGTTGCGATTTTTTGTTGCCCCTATCAATATGGGGTTGGAGTGACAGATTATACTGATTGTAAGTGTTCTAATGTTTGGGATTGAAACTACGTCGAAGGAGATAGCGTTGACGGATAAACGAGGTGCGGCTGCAAGGTTGTATCGAGACGGGATCGTGAAGCCTTGGTCGGCCATTTCTGACGGTGGTGGAGTTGGTATTCATCCATATTGTAAGAGTTCACCCTCCTCCGTAAATAACTCCATACCAAGAAGAACTTTGTTAAAAGATTTTATTTTAGTTTATGATCTCTTTAGTAGCACTTGTTTCTGTTTTAGTCCGAGTAGATTTGGTTTGAATGTTTGGATTTTTGGATTTCTTTCGATAGACAGGGTTTTGGTTCAATTAGATTGTTTAGGCTTAAATTTGTCCGTTTCAGGTTTAGCGAGTCATGTTGCTTTGTATGAGGTGACTTACTCTAAGTCTACTCCTAGGTTTACGATTGGATATGTAAATTCTGTCCGAAGATTGTCTTGTATGTGTTGTTGATTTTAATATAACGGTCGTTCTTTTATGACAATATAAAAAATTCCCTATGTTTAATTAACTCATATTTTGAGCAATTTCTTATTTAAAATAAATTGCTTATGTGTAGGGGCAGAGTTAGGGTTGGGGGCAGCTGCTCCCACTGCCCTTACAATGAATACGCCCTTTAAAATAAAATAACTATAAAAATTCATTATTATAATAGTACATGGTGTACAAAAAAATAGAAGAAAAGACAAATATATTATCATAAAGGAGTAAAGTTAATACCTTAAAATTGTGCTCAATATTCCTCCAAAAAGATAAATTTGTAAATCACAACTTGTGAGTCGAAAGCTTATGAGAATTGCCTCATTTTATTTTCACACAAAGTATAAAGTACTTCATACGGAGTATTAGGCTCTGTTTGCAAACACAACTAGAAAAGCACTTCCCAGCTTTTGGCTTAAAAAAGCTAAAAAAGATGTTTTCAAATGACAACTTCTACTTAAATGAATTACTTAAAAGCTAAAAGCTAGAATCTGCTTTTTACTTTTTCTATTACACAAAAAGCACTTATTTTACCAAACACCACCAACTTTTACTTTTCAAAATCACTTTTTTCTCAAACACTACCAACTTTTACTATTAATCACTTTTTTACCAAATCATTTAAAAAAGTTAAAAGCACTTCTCAATAGGAGTTGCAAACAGAGCCTTAGATTAGTAAGATTACATGTTACTTTCAAGTTCTATTTTAGAAATTAGACTTGTCCTCAAATTATCAGATTTTTATTTATAAGAATACACAATCATTCATAGTAAATAAATTCATATAGTGTCACATTTTATTTTTTTAATTTCTTGTAATTGTTTACCCTTATTAAAAATTCGAAAAACAAATGTTAAAATTACTTATATTGTGTAAGGATCAAAATATTTTTGAGAGAATCGATCTTATTTTTCTCATATATAAATATGAAAAGATATTTTTCTGGTTGATTCACATAACTTTGTCTATTAACTACAGAGTTGAGAGTACTACTTTCCCACTTGCCGTTTTCGCAATAAAATGGATGAAAAAGCAGCCTCATACATTATCAACGGAAAAAAATTTAGTTTCTAGTGGAAAATAGATATACTTCGTATTTATTTATTGCAGTATCCAACACACAAAAAAATATTGCACTATCCAATTTGCAAGTAATTAAAATTATATCATTACTAACAATTACATAATTAAATTACAAAATTAAATATGTAATTTTCTAATATATCACTACCTCCATTTCACTAACATTAGGAAAATAAGGTGGTGACACGCTTATTAAGAAATTGAAAAAATACAATTATGTGGTTGATATTGAATTGATAAAGTAAAAATAAAATTAAATGTCTCCACAAACTCAGAGTACCTTTATTTTGTGTAAGGATCGTTTCCGTCTCCGGCTCAGGTCTCCAACCTTCTAAACTAAACTCACACACACCACTCTAGGGCTTAGGCCACTCCATCTCCCATGTTTACTCACTCTTCTTCACTCCACTAAGGAACTCTCACACAAAGGGAAAGGAAGAAGGAAGACACTGCACTGGGATGTTCTCTCGCAGGCTTATCTCACAAAGGGAAGGAAGTGTTGACTTTATAATAGGCTGCCTGCCTATAGAGAAGTCACGGGCATAATTAACAGGACACTCACGGGTGTGTATAGGACACTCACGGGTAAGCCAAGACAAACAAAGGGTGCAGAGGACAGCAAGCAATGGGGCTGATTCCAGGTAAGTCAACAGGACACCAATGAGTGATTTCAACTCAGGGAATCAAAGTGGGAGTAAACATGGGGTGCAGGCCTAAATAATAAAGTGGAAGGGAGGCCTTGGTAGGACCAATACCTCCAACATTCTCCACCTTATTGGTCCTAAGTGGTGTAGAGTAGCAAAACAGGTTGTGAGGAGACTCATCATCGCCGGGTCACCCGGAATATCAACAGACACAACGGGCAAACACTTTATTAGGCAACCCACAGTTATCCACAATCAAAGTTTAACACGCGTTTACAGGACAAGTGCTTCTCAGCAGAAAGACACTTGGTACCCATATCCGCGGGGTTAAACTCGGACGGGATCTTGCACAGCTTGACTCCACCTGCATCAACAATATCACGTATGAAATGGAACCTAACATCAATATGCTTAGTTCTATCATGAAATACATGATTTTTGCAAAGTTGGATAGCCGATTGGCTATCCGAGAAAATGGTAACTCCCTTTTTGAGAAACCCAATTTCGGAGACAAGGCGTTTGAGCCAGATGGCTTCCTTAAACGCTTCTGTGGCTGCAACATACTCGGACTCAGTGGTAGAAAGGGCCACAATAGGCTGTAGTTGAGACTTCCAACTAATGCAAGAGCCACACAAAGTAAAAACATAAGAAGTGGTCGACTTCCTGTTATCTCTATCATTTGCATAGTTAGAATCAACATAACCAATCAATTCAATACCACTAGCACATTTAGAGAAAATTAATCCATGCTTCACAGTAGAAATCAGATATCTAAGCAACCACTTAAGAGCATTCCAATGGGGCAAACCAGGGTTGGGCATATATCTACTCAAGCAACTAACCGCATATGCAATATCAGGTCTAGTGCTAACCATAAGATACATCACCGACCCTATTGCGCTGGAATAGGGCACAGATTTCATTTTCTCAATTTCAGGAGCAGTCTTGGGAGACTGGTCCTTACTTAACACAAAGTGAGATGCCATAGGGACATTAACAGGAGAAGCAGATAACATATTAAATTTACTCAAAACTTTTTCTATGTAAGAAATCTGATTCAAAGTAAGAGTACGCTTACTCCTATCCCTAACAATGTTTATGCCTAGGATCCTCTTGGCATCACCTAGGTCTTTCATGGCAAAATTCGCACAAAGACATTTCTGCACATCTTTAATAGCATTCAGAGAAGGACTAATTATCAGCATGTCATCCACATAGAGTAACAAAAATACAGGCACAGAAGAAGTATTTTTGAAATACAGGCAATGATCACAAACAGATTTCTGGAACTTCAAAGATATCATGCATTTATCAAATTTGATGTTCCACTGCCTAGGGGATTGCTTCAGGCCATACAAAGCCTTCCTAAGCAAACAGACATGCTCACTTCTCTTGGGATCCACAAAGCCCTCAGGCTGGGTCATATAAATTGTTTTATCCAATTCACCATGCAAAAATGCAGTAGTTACATCCATCTGTTTCATTTCCCAGTCATGGTGAGCAACTAAAGCAAGCATCATACGAATAGTGGTGAATTTAACAACAGGAGCAAAGATTTCTGCATAATCTACCCCCTCTTTTTGAGTAAACCCCTTCGCAACCAACCTAGCCTTAAACCTAACATCACTAGGTTCTTCCTTAACCTTAAACAACCACTTACACTCAACTACCGAACAGTTGGGGGGTCTAGGTACAAGGGTCCAAGTCTGGTTCACTCTCAAAGAGTCCATCTCACTTTTCATGGCACTAATCCATTTCTGAGACTCTTTGGAACCTAAGGCTTCACGGTAGGTCTTGGGTTCATTCAGCTCTAGGGATTCAAACACAGAAAATGCAAACATAGAAGTATCATGCACAATGAAAGCATAATCAGGCATACTATCAGCAGTTCTCCTGATAGCCCTTCTACTCCTATCTCTAGCAAGTTGATAATCATGCAAATTATCACTACTAGGCTCCACATGCAACTCATGCAAATTATTGTTATCATGAAAATCAGATTCAGCACCCATATCATGCAAATCATGCTCAGTATCATGCAAATGCTCCACCTCACTCGAGGTGGTGGGACTATCATGCTCAGAGGAATCAGAATCATGCATAACAATATCATCAGAAATAACAGGATCAACAGATAAAGGACTAGCAGCAACAGGGACAGACTCCACCTCACTAGGAGTACTATCAGACCTAGACTTAGGATTAGAAGCAGACTCGGTCAAGCAAGGAAAATCAGTTTCATTAAACACCACATTTCTGCTAAGGACCACTTTAAAGCCTACCTGGTTCCTATCCCATAACCTGTAACCCTTTACCCCCTCTGGATAACCTAGGAAGACACATTTCTTAGACCTAGGATCCAACTTGTCACCCTGTTGGTGTGCATACGCTGCACAACCAAACACCCGAAGGTTAGACAGATCAAGAGGCTTACCGGTAAAGACGGTTTCAGGACATTTACCACCAAGAGGGACAGACGGGGACCTATTAATCAAATAGGCAGCAGTAGTGACTGCTTCACCCCAGAATTTCTTAGACAAACCAGAGGTAGCTAACATGCTTCTAACCTTATCCAATAGAGACCTATTCATTCTCTCTGCTATCCCATTCTGTTGGGGAGTATAAGGCACAGTTTTATGCCTTCTTATCCCACAATCCACACACAGCTTATCCATCTCCTTATTACAGAACTCTAACCCGTTATCAGTCCTAAGGGTTTTAACCTTCCTGCCAGTTTGGTTTTCAACTAGGGTTTTTCACTCCCTAAACCTCACAAACACATCTGACTTGTGTTCTAAAAGGCAAACCCACACCTTCCTAGAGAAGTCATCAATAATGGAAAGGAAATATTTCCTACCCCCGTGGGTAGGAACACTGGCAGGACCCCAAACATCGGCATGAACATATTCAAGCACAGACGAACATTTAGACAGATTAGGGTAAGAGGAAGGAGGAAAACTGACTCTATGCTGCTTGCCTAACACACATGATTCACAAAAAGGCACAGAAGTCACAGAGTCCTTACCAAAATAACCAGCCCTACGCATGACATCTAAACCCTTATTGCTCATATGTCCTAGCCTATTATGCCACAAAGAGGTCTTATCAGAACATACAACATTCACAGACTCAGCAAAAGGTTTAGCATGACACACATAAAGGTTATTCACCTTCTCAGCTTTAAACAAAACAAGCGAGTTTTTCAGGATTTTCATACAACCATTCCCCCATTTTCCCTGTAACCCACTACTCTCCAAAGCAGCAACAGATAACAAGTTATGACACAAATCAGGGACATGCCTCACATTCTTAATGGTAAACACAGAGCCACAAGAAAATTTCAGACATATATCACCAACACCAAGCACATTGCATCTCTTATTATCAGCTAAGGAAACATAGCCACTATCACATAACTCATATGTAGAAAACAAATCTCTAAAGGGGGACATGTGATAGGTACAACCAGAGTCAATCAACCATTCATGCTCAGACAGGGAATTTCTTACAGAATTAACATGGTCACAAACCATCAAAATATCACCAAGGTCACATTTATCAACAGCTACACTAGCATGCTCGGTCTTCTTAGGGTGGGGGCAATCCTTAATGAAATGGCCAGTGTTACCACAATTGTAACACACTCTCTTCCTAGATTTGCTCCTCTTTCTCCCAGGCTGACTAGCGTTCTTACCCTGACTATTTTGCTTAGGATTCTTAGACCTACCCTTAGATCTACCCCTAACAAACATAGCCTCACCGGAGTCCCTGGACTGACTAGCACTACCCCTAGCATGCTTCAGGTCTAATTCCTTACTCCTTAACCCATTCACCACAATGTCTAATGAAATCTCATCCCTACCATACTTAATAGCGGACTTAACATCATTATAAGAGTCGGGAATGGCATTAAGTAATACTATGGGAGTATAATCATCTATGTGTTTATCACCTGCCTGTTTGATATTCTGTATCAGTTTATTAAACACATCCAGGTTCTCATCTATATCCTTAGTCAGGTCAAGCCTAAACCTAAAGAATTTTTCTAGTAAGAACAACTTCCCGGGCAAAGAGGTATCAGTATAGAGACTATCCAATTTCTCTCACAACTCCTTAGCAGACTCAAGAATACCTACTTTCCTAAGCACAGAATCAGACAGATTCAAGTAAATAGTAGAACAAGCAGTTTCGTTCATTTCAATTTGCTTAGCCTTATCTTCTGATTCTAGGAAAATACCAGTGACAGCTCTGAAAACTTTTTGCTGTATTAAAACACACTTAATTTTCTGTTTCCAAATATCAAAATCTGTTTTTCCATTAAATGGAAGCATACCATACTGATTTGCAGCCATGGTATCAACCACAAAGGAACACAAAGCTAAACAGATAGAAATGACAGAAAATAATCCAACCCGGGTTATAAAGTATTCACTTTAATAACCCCGGGCAGCATGCAACACATAGCAAAAAATGGACATTTTGGCAATCAAACAATTCCGGGCAGAAAATAAATTAATTAATTCTACCCCTACCACCCAATAAACCACCCCTATGCATAACAATTAATTTAAATAACACAAAGCAATTTAATTAATTAACTAAAACAGTCTACCACAAAGGAGAAAGTTTAGTACGTACCTGGGGGGTTGGCGGCCGGGATTAAATCAACCGGCGGCCCGCGGGGAGGGGGAATAAAATTAAATTAAATTAAAACCGGAATGTAACAAATGGGAAGTTTACAGAAAACTTACCTTCGCGAAACCCTAGGAGAGCGTTTCGACCTTACCTACCCAATTTTAAAAAAATTGGGATTTTTCTGGAGGGGTTGACTGCCGTTGACCGGCGTTGACCACCGTTGACCGGCGGTTGATTGGTTGACCAGTTGCTCCAGCCCGGTCCAAGTCCAGCTGGTCAGCAACAGCAATACACCCAGCTCCAACTTTGTCCTTCACAAAGTCAGCCACGGTCCAGAAAATCAGCAGCCCAAAAAACAGAAGCCCAGCAACACAAAATTCAGCAGCAGTCCACCAGGTCCAAGAGCTAAAAAAATATCAATCGCGTGCAGCTACAGTACTCGTTCCAGCGACGATGTGGCGCGTCATCTTCTGCTTTCTGCGAACAGCACATCTGCCACAGCAATTTCGCAGGCAGCTTTGACGGTCGAGCAACGGGTCCACGGTCGGCGAAGCTCCAGCTGCGAATTCCGGCGTCAGCTTCCAGGCGAACTGGAAGGACGACGGTGGTTTCCGGCGAGTTGAAACGGGATGCGGTGCGAGCTGACCTATCTTCGGCTATGGCGGAACTTCAACTCCCGGCGAGCAACTCCCTGCGGCGGCGGACTTCCAGGTGACGGCTGAACAGATTTGAGGCAAACGGGAAGCAACGGCACCAAGCGAAGCTTCAACGAACGACCGGTGACCTCCAGGACCTGAAATCGACAAGCGGCGGCGGACGGCGGCGGAGGGCGGCGGCAGACGGTGGTTCTGGCTCTGATACCACTGTAAGGATCGTTTGTTCCGTCTCCGGCTCAGGTCTCCAACCTTCTAAACTAAACTCACACACACCACTCTAGGGCTTAGGCCACTCCATCTCCCATGTTTACTCACTCTTCTTCACTCCACTAAGGAACTCTCACACAAAGGGAAAGGAAGAAGGAAGACACTGCACTGGGATGTTCTCTCGCAGGCTTATCTCACAAAGGGAAGGAAGTGTTGACTTTATAATAGGCTGCCTGCCTATAGAGAAGTCACGGGCATAATTAACAGGACACTCATGGGTGTGTATAGGACACTCACGGGTAAGCCAAGACAAACAAAGGGTGCAGAGGACAGCAAGCAATGGGGCTGATTCCAGGTAAGTCAACAGGACACCAATGAGTGATTTCAACTCAGGGAATCAAAGTGGGAGTAAACATGGGGTGCAGGCCTAAATAATAAAGTGGAAGGGAGGCCTTGGTAGGACCAATACCTCCAACATTTTGCAATGACCAATTTTAATTTATTGATATAATTAAAATCCATAGATAATCGAGGAGATCAAGATGCACAAATTTATATTCTACGAGGTTTTCTAAATAAATATTATCGAATTAGAACTTATGTACACAAACATACATGATTAATAGATCCTATATAGAATATAGTATAGTGTCATGGCCGATTATTTAAGTGTAAAAGGTAAATATAAATATAAGTTATATTTATAGTATAGTAACTATACTTAAGAGATCACTGTACATTTTTGTAAATTATTTTTATTTTAGTCATAAATATGTAATTATTTCAATTCTTAAATGTGGACACCCTCTACTTAGAGAACGCGTAAAACTTCATGAAATTTTATGAGTCTGGTTGGTAACATCTAAAATGATCATCTACAGTAACTTTAGCGAATTATAAGCTAGTAAAGTAACTTCAGTTTTATTTTTACTATGAAGTACTATTATTATAAAATTCAGCGTGTGAAATGAAAAATTATGTATTTTATGAGAAAAATCAACTAATAAAGCTGATAAACCTAAAACATAACCAAATAGGCTCAGACAGCTCTATATTAAGATTGGAACTAGGGCTGGGCACGGGCCGGGTCGGGGCGGGTAATGCAAAATAAAATGGAACTGCCGGTTCCATTGTGCGGTCCGGTCCGGTCCGGGTATTGCAATTTTCAAAATAGGAACCGGACCTTACCCGACCCGTTTGAAACGGGTCGGTCCGGTCCGAGTTTTACGGTTTCTATTCCCATGTCTTAAAATTAGTAAAAACTCAAAAAGTTCCAAAAATCAATAATTAATAATATAGTACATTAGCAAGTTTTAAAATAACAACATAGTGGTGCACATGTAACACAAGTGACAAGTCCAATACTCCATAATTTCATGTATATAAGTTCCAAACAATTAAAGTTCCAAAAATCAGCAACATAGCTAAAATACATATTTTATAACATTTGAATTAAAAAATGTTATCTAACATCACATATTAACATATTAAGGTGACACATACATGAGGGTGGTAATCACAATTTATATATTTTAAGAACAAATTTTCAGTATTAGCCAAAGTTGACACATACATGGGGTGGTAATCAAAGTTTATATATTTCAAGAACAATATTATAAAAACAAATATTACAAAATCATTTTTAACAAATAATTAAATTCCATAGAAAGGAATAATTCAATAACAATAAAAATAATAAGAAATTTAGGTAAATTTTAATCAATAATTTGAACGCAAAATGATGTTACTGCAACTCAATTTAAAATCCTACTTCTAACAAAGGAAAACAAAACTATTTCAAAACCGATTATCACAAAACTATTAATAAATTAATCTACAATATATATAACGGGTCGGGCCGCGTACCCTGTATTTTTTTATTTTGGAACCGGCCCGGGTCCTTAAAAAAAATTACCCGGACCTACCCGGACCGTTTTATGGCAACAAAAAATGGAACCGACCCGTTTTGGACCCGAACCGCCATTACCCGAACCGGACCGCGGTTCCAGGACCCGTTTGCCCACCCTAATTGGAACACCTTTTTCTGTGGCATCAATTCGCATTTCAGTATTGGATATTTGTGATCTTATAGGATAAGCTAAGCTAAGAAAAAATGCGGATGATTAAATGGTGATATATGCCTGATTATATTGCCTCAAAGACTTGTACAGTTCTACACTTCTTCCCAAAAACGGCAAGCACTTCTTCCACTTTTGCGTCTTGCAATAATGCCAGACATGCAATTATGCAAAGCAAATAAACTAAAGAAAAGAAAAAGTAAATGATTGTGATGATGATCATTGCAACTTTCTTATATGGAAGAGCCATTAAACAAAGTTAAAAGCTACTGATGATAGGTGTCTTACAACTTGAATTAATTGTGCACTCAATTTTTCTAATGCAATTATGTATACTGACAATTGCATACTGCCAAAAAACAATATAAGCACTGAGCTTGAAAGGGTCGTTTACCATTTTGGGTATGTTTGGCAAATGGTTTATCAACCGGTTTTTAGTTTGTTTGACCCATTTCAGCTGTTTGATTGGTCAAAGAAGCTAATAATAATGTTTGGTAAATGGCTTTTAAAATTAGCTTGTTGAGTTTGAAAAGCTGAAAAAATGGATTGTTGAAGAAGCTAAGGGGGCAGCTTATTCATTCGGCTGGTTCAATTTACACTCTATTAGCCATTTCGAAACAACCAATTTTACCAAACAGTTATGTATAATCAGCTAACATAACCAGCCGGTCAAAACAGTTAACACAACCAGCTGTTAGGAAACAGCTGACACAACCAGCTAACAACAAGAGCTAATAGCCATTTGCCAAACATACCCTTTGTCATGGAAGGTACGGAATTTTGGTCGCATAGTCGCATTTCATTGCCAATATCATGTTAAGCAGAATATTTTAGCCCATGAAAATATCTACAAGAAATTGAAGAAATTAAAAGAAAATCAACCCAAAGAAAAATCGATCAATTTTATATCATCAGTATAATGCATATTTTCTTTAAAAATATTTTAAGAAAAAAACTACTCCGTATTTATATATAGTGTGTGAACAGACTAATTTTTGTCTATAAATAGCTTGTTCACAGACTGATTGACACTATATATTTTGGCTTTTAACAGACTATTTATAGACAAAAAATAACATGTTCACAGAAGTGTGTATTGAATGTGTACAAGAAACAAGTCTGATATTTAAATTTAATCTAGTCTGTTATTCATTGTTGATCATTTTATTTTTTGTTGGGGTTGCAAATGTTTGGTTGGTATGGGTATGGTTTATTTAAACTGGTTTTATAAATCTGTCAACTTCAAAACACAAGTATATTCATTCATATTTCATGTTAAACTATATATTTGTCTCACACCAGAATTGTAACACTTGGCCCCGTAGGATCGGACCCGAGGTATGTAGTTACTCCACACACCCTCGGCAAGCACTTCTTCGATGGTAGAACTTATTTTGATTTTGACAAATTATAGGTCAAGTCCATAATTGAAGGATGCAATGTAAGGACTAAGGAGCTCGCTATATACTTCCTCCGTTCCAAAATAATTTGTAAATTCTATTTTTTTGTCGGTTGGATTTTATTCACTTATTTATATAGTATTCAAATCTTAAAAGCTGCAAATCAATTAGGGGCGGAAGGTGGGATTCAAATCTGGTCAAAAGCATGAAATTAAAGCCATTAATTATTACAAAAAAATGTTCATGTCAATTCCTGTCATTTTATATTCCCGGATACTCCACCCCTAAGAAGAGTAGAACACCCTTTAATGAAAATTACACTATATATTTGTATATAAGTCTGATGATTTTGGAAGCTCCCCAAAGCCAAAGGCATTGCTCCTTTCTGCAATGAGTGGCACCTAACTATCAATCATCAATCTAGAAATATGTCAATACACAACACCTTTTCTCCATTCTTCGTGAGTAAGTAACAGCTCCATATATATGCCCGCGCACACAATGCTCAATATATCACACTTGACTTGCTTTTGAACCTTTCTTTTCCTTTTACTGTACCAGATCCGATCCACTCAATCAAAACTATTATACGGAGTATCATGCAAGAATTGAAACAGAACAACTATTTCCTTTTTAAATCGTGTTTGGCTTTGGGGTTTAATTAGGAGAGTAAAGTTGAGTTCAATTCAAACGGTTCAGTTTTAATCTAAAACTAAATAGCGAACCAAAGAAAATAATTTGGTTTGGTTCAGTTCAATTTTATCTTTCCAAATTTTAAACCATGATTTATTCGGTCTTTGCCAAAATAATTTTGTTGATTAAAAACATAGTAAATGGAAAACAAAAAAAATCCAAGTTACATCAAGCATTAATTAATGGCAATATAATACAAAAACATTACTCCGTATTAAAAAAAGAGAAGAAACAAGTGCACGTCCAGGCAATGAATTAGAATGTGTATATCTTTTTAAATACCTTTTAAAAGAATTAAACGCATAAATTATATAGAAAATATATAGTGTAGCCTAAACTTTAAGTTTTTATTTGTTATACTTTTTACTAAATGTTGTTTTTATTTGTAGTAAATATTTTTTTAAAAAATAATTATTCTATTTTCTTTTTAGATAAAGCGTATATATGCTCTAAAGTTTCACATTTTTTGATAGTTGTTTGGAAATAGTATGTATGTTGCCTAAGTTATAGTTTAGATGAATACATATTTCTTTTGTAATAAAAAGTTGTGTGATAACAAACACAAGTAACTAGTAATATAACAACAAAATATCATTGTCATGCAAAAAAGACCAAAAATGAACCGATTTAGTTATCATTGCCATGATCCAACGGTCCAAATGAATTCCAAAGTTACACTGATACATTTTATTTTCTTTATTCTATTTTTTCACCGAAATATCCAAAAAACTAATTTAACCAAATTTCATTTGCTCTATCGAAACATTCATTTTTTCATTTATAATTATTCAAAATTTTAACCAACATACAAAAAATATTATTTATAATAATTTAAGTAATGCTTTATGAACCTGGTATGTAAAAAGTATGGAGAGTGGATATTATCAACAGTGTGAAATTTCAAGGAAAATAGTATAAATGGAGTGAATACAGTGTATTCGTATAAAATAGAATTGATGTTTGGGTTATTGATGCTGCGGGAATGAAGACTATTTAAATCTAAATAAAACTAGATGTAAGAATCGTGTCAAATAATGAGAATGATGAAACATTTGGATATACATAGTTCACTATTGTTTATGCCCTCATTAAAGGATGTTACTTGGTGTACTTTTACGATTTGATATGGTCTAAACTAATATATTAACTTCAATATGTTATATAGTATGTTTCGTCTAATGTGAATTGATCTAGTACAACATTGGTTTATTTACAATCTATGTCTGGTTTGATTTAATTTGATCTTATATATTTAAGATTAGTGTGATTTGACTCCTTTGACAGTAATCAATCCAAGTGAAAATATTCTAAATCATGTTTTCACTTAGATTTAGGATTTAGAGTTGGCTCCTTCTATCAGTATTTGATTGAAATCCAATTTACATTCTTCTAGTTAATTGTCCTGCCGGTGCTAGAAGCCCTTAGAGATAGGGTATCATCCTTTGAATTAGGCTCTTGTTTAATAATGTAGAATCAATTCAAGTTGAGTAGATTTATAACATAAAAAATTAAACTTTTATGAGGATTTTTTAAAAGTATTACGGAGTATTAAAATAAAACTTATTTACACAAACATGTCTAATAGTAACTACAATCTACTGTCATGATAATTTAAGTTTAAAATTTGAATATAAGTTACTACAATTTCATAATTACTCTAGTCACTAGTCACATTTTTCTAAACAATCTTTATTTTTGTTATAAATATGTAATTATTTCTTTTTTATTACAATACGATTTTAAATTTTAATATAGTCTCTACATAACTCCCCCTAAATAAACTTCACCCTATCTGATTTCTCTTTAGTTCTCATATTTGAGCATTGCTGTTTTCTTTTATATACTAATAAAAAGTATCACAATAATACGTAAATCTCAAAAGTCATACAATTTGATCAAGATATTTCCATATTACGAAATGCTACACTTTATATAAAGAATATCTAAAATTACTAAATTTTGACTGGAAAATACAAACCGTGCAATTATTGAAGGATGGAGGCTTGGTAGAGTAATAAAACAAAACAATGACAACAAAAGTGTATGGAGGGGAGCAAGGAAGTCGCATATGGAGACAATGGAGTTAGTGTTGTGTTATTGTCATGAATGATGGGTTTCGAATAGAAATTGTTGGGTTATGACTTATGAGCTGAGAGTGTCTCGTACACTGGCCGGATAATTAAACACAAATTGTCCTAAATAGAAGTAAAAATGTTTTGAAATTCCAAAATAGGAGTATCATGTTTTTTATTCCTTGAATAGGAGTAATCTGCCAAGTTTGGAAGAAACTGCCATCTTTAAAGCCTTGTAAAACCAAACTTGGCAAAAATTTACTCCTATTCGGGGAATAAAAAAACATGATACTCCTATTTTGGAATTTCAAAACGTTTTTACTCCTATTTAGGGAATTATCTCATAATTAAATGTGAGAATGTAAAAGAGATAATTTGACTTTACACCTCATGATTTGGGTGATATTTGAATTTGCACCCTATTATAAAAACCATCAATGTATGCACTCCAAATCACTATAAATTCATTTGACTTTGCACGTCACTCCTTCACATTTTTTGGGTTGATGCGGTGTTGATGGCTTCACCTACCCTGGGGTAGCAGAAACTGGAAGAAAAAGAGAGAACTGAAAAGTGTCAAGTATAGATTGAGTGGAAAAATTAGCAGCATAGCAGTAAGCTCGAGTGTATAGGAATGGTGATCCCTTCCCACAAGTTGGAAGGTGATATTTATACTGTAAAATGAAATATTTGGGCAACAAGTAAAAATAATTAATCAACTAATACAATGACATGTGTAAAGTCTAATTGGTGATAGAATAATCAGAGCTAGCTAATTGGTACTGTTGATAACAAATTCTATCCTTTATGTAGTGGAATGTGTAGAGAACCCACGTGTGTACGGTCTGAAATCCTCTACGTGAAATCACCTGGATGACATAAGCCTTGGATAGTTGTTCTGTGGGTGACGTAATCAGATCGAGTTGCATGCAGGACATATGTGCTGAAATATCCAAGTCCACAATCTTCATACGAGGTCGAGCTCGGGTGCATCATGTTTAGTTGAAAGGAGGGTGATCTTGATTCGCAATGTGAGGCAATGATGCCCTTGTTGGTTCTTTGACTTCATAAGGTGTCAATTGACCTTAAACTTGACTACAGTGTTTCGTTTGATGCCAACCTTGGCAAGGGTCGATCCCATCCTTGGTTGCAGTCTTGGACTTATCTCGATGATCTAAGAACTGACTTTGGGATCGATCTCGGCCGAGGTCGGGCTCGGTCTTGATAGAAAATGATTAAGTGGTTCTTGGAGATCTTTTATCCATAAGTGTTGATACCCTCTGGGTATATGAGAATATACTCCATCGGGCACATACACTAATGGTTTTAAAAATGGGGTGCAAAATGAAATATCAATCAAAACATGGGGTGCAAAATCAAATTTGTAAATTGAATTTTACATTATATATAATCTCTCATCATAGTTGTCATGATTTGATTTCACGTTGCACCCCTTGTGCATCCCCTACTTTTCAGTTGAGTTAGGTCCACTGCCCATAAGTATGTTATACGAAGTAGTTGTGTACTTGTTTTGGGGTGAGAGTTTGATAATAGCTTTCTTGAACCCCAGTTTTAATTTGATAGTTATTTGAGGTAATTGTATCGTAACAGTATAGTAATTAAGCGGTAAATGCTTTCTCATTTCTTGTATTCTACATAGACTGGGAGTGACGAATGTGCACCCTAGTGTTTGAAAAGGAAGGCAAAGATAGGTGATTTTCCTTTTTCTAAAGATGTTACATTAGTCCAACAAACAAGAACTATATAGTAGTTTTAAAAAGTACCGAGTAGAAAATTACTTTTGGTATGACTAAAACTCATTTATTTTCTCAATCTATAACCTCATTAATTTTTTTCCTAAAATAATATTTAAATATGTAATGTTTATTTAATAGTCAATTCTCTAAATAGAACTAAAAAGTGGCAAAATTGCTCAAATAGGACTATATTTTTTAAATTACCTTAATATGACTATTTATATGTATTTGGACAAATTTACTCTTGTAGCTTTTGAAATGTTTTAATTAATGATAAAATCATAAAAAATAATAAAAATCGTAAAAAAATAATAAAAATCATAAAAAAAAATAATACAAAATTAATAAACTATTCAAAAAATATATTTTTTTAAAAAAAAATAAAAATTAAAAAAAAAACGTAAAATTAAAATAAAAAAAAAAAACACTGCCACCTCTGCCACCCCCCAGCACCACAGCTCCATCACCGGAGAAAAATCTGCCAACATTTTAAATAATGCCATAATGATGGCATATTCAATGAAAATGTTGGCATATTGAAGAGTAATTATGTCATCTTTCTGGCATTTTTTCAGAAAAAGATGGCATTTTTTTTAACCAAAAGTGGAAGAAACTTCACCAATCAGAGGTGGTGGTGCTGGGAGGCGGTGGGAAAGGTATCCATAATTTTTTTAATTTTTTATGGGTTTTTACTATTTTTTACTCCCTCCGTCCCAAAATGGTTGGCCAAATTTCCTTTTTTGGTCGTCCCAAAAAGGTTTGCTATTTCCATTTAAAGTAAGGAATATGTGACTAAAGTTAATTCTCTTTCCTCTGCGCAAATTTCAACCACACAGTTTTTACTTTACTAATCCACGTGCAAGTCAACATTGGCCAACCATTTTGGGATGAAGGGGGTTATTTTTTTTTTTTAAATATTTTTTAATTTTTATTTATAAATATTTTATTAATTTTTATAATTTTTTTATGATTTTAATATATTTTTTACGATTTTGTATGATTTTACTATGAATCAAAGCATTTCATTATGGATTAATACCCTTAGGGGTTTAGGGTAGAAAATCAATGTTTAGTCCTATTTAGAGAATTTGAAAAGTACTAGTCCTATTTGTGCTTTTTAGGAACTCATTGGTCCTATTTAGGACAATTTCCGTTTAATTAAATAATAAATGAATAAATAAATAATTTTTATGGACTAATATGCCCTTAGATTGATATTGTAAAGTGTAACTTCATACCCATTTGCTAAAACACCTAGTCATTAGCTCGTAGCCACGGCACCTGCAACACTTGCCGCCCCAATCTTCGCGGTACCTGCCGCCTCCATCGTCGTGGCACTCACGGCACCCGCCTCCCCTGTTGCAACAACTGTCCCCATGTGATGCCCATGTCTCCATGTTTGTTCACTGCAGTCGTTCCCATGTCGCGTCGCCGCAGCCGTTTCCATGCCCACGCGCCTACCCACAGTTGTTGTCGTCTCTATGCCTGCTCGCCCCTGCCGTCTCAATGTCTTCTTGTCGTGGCCATCCCCATATGTGATCGCCGCCACCGTCCCCATGCCTGCACACCTACCCGCACCCGCTGCCATCCCCATGCGCCGCCGCCCCGTCTCAATGTCTACCCGTCACTACTATCCATATGTCTGCTCATCGTGGTCGTCCCCATGTCAGCGCGCCTACACGCAACCTTCGTTGTACCCATGCCTGCGCGCTCACCACACAAGATTGGAGTTGAACCCTAGGTTGAAGACGATTCAAGACAGTGTGCAGTGAATTCTAGAACAGTGAGTAGTGAACAATGAGTAATTTGTATATGATGTCGTGAATATGACAAGAAGTGCAGAGAATATGATAAGAAGTGCAATGATATGACAATAAATGCAGTGATTATGACAACAAATGTCGTGATATACTGCATTAATATTCATATAAAGGATGTTTTTACTTGGATTGTTTTATGTACCAAACAAGGCCAGATTTAAACGGACCAAACCAGACCAGACTTCCATTGTTATAAAATAGACAGAGACCAGACATTTTCCAGCCCAGACCAAATCAGGCTTAAATAGACCAGACATGACCTGACCAGCAAATTTCAGTCCAAGTAAATATATCCAAAGTGTGCACTTATAAAATAAGAAAAAGCCCTATGAATTCCTAGCATTTTTATAATATCGTGCTATAACTCCGGAGGCATGAAGTGCAATAACGCCGACATAAAGTGCATTAAATTTAAATAGACGTGAAAACTAAAGTTATCAAATCCAAAAGAGAAAAAAGAACGAAAAATGTATAACATTTCGTAATGCTTTAAAAAAACTTTTTCGTGATGTCGTGCAGTCATGCTGGCATAAAGTGCAGCAAATGTCGTGCAGTAACGCCTTTACATAAAATGCAATATTTTTAGACGAAAGTAGAGCAAACTGCGCCTTTTTTAATAAGGATATTATCATCCCTTAACATTTTAATATGACGAGAATTTCTTTTTTTAGTCATAGGAATGTCTAAAAACAATGTTATTCATATTTCGGGAAACTTAATAATTTTTAGTCATATTCCGAGAAATTTCCCCTCTAAAAAGCCTAAATTCAAGTCTGTGCACTTTTCCCCCAAACCCGATAATGTGATTGATTGGGGATTTTAAAGTTAGATAATTGGAAATTTCGACCACATACTTAAAATTCTAAATATGACAGCAAAAAGAATGGTGCTGCAAACTAATAAACATATAACATGGGGTTCAGAGATCTAAAGAAAAGCGGACAACTCCCTAGCGTTTTCTAAGGTTGTTTTTTTGAAAAAAGTTCTCTTGTGTACGCTGTTTTGTTTCAGACTATGTATAGGTTTTTGAGGTGGTAAGTTCGTCCGTGACATAGAGGAGGAAGACTAGATTTTCAGATGACGCGGCAAAGAGCTAAATTGGTTGACAAGGTGCAAGGGAAGTTTGATATTTTAGACCAGATATACGATCATTTGGTCTTGGAGGAAGAAGATAATATGTTGATGGTATCCCTCTTGAACCACCGCCATATCATGGAATGAACGAATAATTGGGGTTTGATCAACTACAATTTCATCCTACAAGCTTTATTTTTCTTTTGTTTGACTTTCTACCTTACTTTTATATTAGGGATAAGGCTAAAAAAGGACACCAAGATTATGTATGAATCTCAAATTGAACACTTAGCTTTTAAGTGGACCAAATTAACACATAATTTACTTATTAGAGCTACATTTAGCCATCCATTAACATTTCTTATTAACGGTGTATCTTTTAACCGTCCACCTCCATCATAAGGCTAATAATTCTTTATCCCTTTCAATTTGTAGCTAGAAATCAAATTAATAGAAATCCAAAAGTTGCTCCCATTGCGAACGCGCCCTTTTTCTTCTCCGGCGGATGTGGTGCCTAGTGGGTAAGTATTGATGTGTAGGTCAATTACTTTTTTCGCCTTTGGCATACCTGGAAAAGTTTTCCCATGTCCGACTGAGTTGTTGTACCAGTAGAATAAGCCATTGAGACCTTTTTGTTTGAGAAAGATGTATGGGTTTATAAGTTTATGTGTTTGACTAACTAATTGATTGGATTCAATTTTTTATTCTGTTAAGTGCTTTATGATTAAGTTGCTATAATAATGCATAAAAAGTTTACTATTTTAGACTTTTATGGTATGGATCGAATTGTGTGACATATTGAAATTTATATGGATGGATTGAATATACAAGGAGCAAATGCTCAAGGAATTCTGAAATGGCTAACATATGATGAGATCCAGCGCAAGACTTACCAGGAAGTGAAGGGAACCAGAACTGCCAACCAGTGCTCGACCATTGAATGAGGGTCCGAAACCTTCTCTTCCTGGAAACTATGTCGATGATTATGCTCCGTTGTCAAAAAAGAATGGGGGTATACGTGAAGAGAGAAAGGGAAGGGGTGGGTGAGTACTGAGTAAATGATAGGCTTATAAGTGGTCAGCCTATTAAATACTTCAATAGAGTCTATCAAAGGAGGAATAAGGGGGGTAGTCAATAATTAGTTAATGAATCTATTAGCTATTAATAAAGTCCCTGCGTGGACTATTGACTATAAATAGAAGTCTGCTAGCCTATTAGGGCAGGTTGTTGCTCTGAATAGTTGGATGTCAGGAGATTGGGCTTCTCGAATAGTCCCTGAGCTTGTACGACCTATCTGGAGTTCTCACTTTCAATAAAATTCCCTTTGATCTGTCCTTACATCATTCTGCAGATTTGATATAGTTTGCTTAGCTTAACACCAGTGTTCTATCATTGGTATCAGAGCGTTAGCTCCTGGGGATCGGAAATAGAAGGCGTCGTCTCTTGAATTTTTGCGTATCGGTGGTGGATGGTAAAGACGAGATCCAAGATGGAACATCGCATGGAGGCCTTTGAGCAGGAGATGCGAGCTACCATCGCCAATCTATCGACCGCAACAAACGAGCAGATCCAGAATATCACGGTCGCGATGAACGAGCAGATACAGAACAGTATCGCAGCATCTATGGCAGCGTATCAGGGCAGGAGGGTCCCTTCCAGAGGACGATCACCATCTCCTCAGCATCGTCGCTCGCGATCACCTCATATCAGATCCCATTCGAGAGGTAACTCGGCCCACTCTTATCGTCATGATCATAGGCATGGTGGTGATCACCCTCGTTTTAATATCCAGTATGCACGTAAGGTGGATCTACCTCTATTTAATGGAAACGGGGCTTATACCTGGTTGATACGTATGGAGAGGTACTTTAGGTTGAATCAAATTGCTGAAGGAGATAAACTGGAAGTGTCTATATTAGCCATGGAAGAACGAGCTCTTAACTGGCTTCAATGGTGGGAACACCAAACGGAGGAGAAGAACTGGGAAACTTTGAAAGAAGCTGTGATACGCAGGTTTCAACCGGAGTTGCTGCAGAATCCTTTTGAGCCCATGTTAAGTTTGAAACAAACCGGTACTGTAAGTGATTATAGGGATGAATTTGAGCTGACCATAGCACCTCAGAGGAATGTGGACAGGGAAATGTTGAGAGGAATTTTTATCACAGGGTTGAAGAACGAAGTGAAGGCTGAACTGAAACTATATAAACCCAGAACTTTAGCTGAAGTTATGGAGACAGCAGTACTGATTGAGAGAAAAAATGAAGCTACAAATCTGAAGAAGCAGGAAGATGAAAAGATGGGGGTTAAAGATAAGGGACCGATGCCTAGCAAATCTCAGAATTGGGGGGAAGGTTTTAAGGCCAGATATGGGAGCTCGGGATTCACTACTCAAGGAAAAGGGGCAAATGAGAACAGGAACTTCAATTCCTGGTTTGATAGAATGGGGAAGAAAGTCACAGATATGCAGTCTTCAGGAATCAGGAAGGTAGCACCTCAATTATCCCAAGAAGAATTCCAAGAGAGAAGCAGGAAGGGGCTGTGTTTTAAGTGCGGGGAGAAGTGGAATAAGGAGCATACCTGCAAGTTGAAGAACTATAAATTGATGTTAGTAGAAGACTCAGAGGTTGAGGAAGAAACAGACGGTGAGGAACCTGAAATTCCAGAAGAAGAGGTGGCGATGGAATCAAAATCTATGCAATTATCTCTTATGAGTAGAGAAGGGATACCTACTATGAGGGCCTTCAAAATTAAGGGAGTGCTGAAATGGAACTTGGGACAAAGACAGGTAGAAGTATTGATTGACAGTGGAGCCACGCATAATTTCATTTCCCAGAAACTGGTGGAGGAACTGGAGCTACCTTTCAATACGATTACAGGGTATAAGGTGCAGATTGGCAATGGAGAGAAGGTATCTAATAATAGAAGATGTGAAGAGGTGGTACTATGTTTACCAGATATTGAGATACAACAAGATTTTTACGTTTTAAATCTGGGAGGAACTGACCTCGTTTTGGGCATGGAGTGGCTTACCAGCTTGGGAGATGTTGAAATAAACTTTCAGAAGCAGACGATCAACTGGAAGAGTTCAGGACTCAATCATTCAGTTCAAGGGGATCCTAAGTTAAGTTCAATGGAAGTCTCATTGAAAACTTTAACAAAAATTATACAAGATAATGGAGATGGATATCTTTTATATTGTGAAGGGATTCTAATGCAGATGGAGAAGGAGAAGGATATGGACTGCATCTGGGAAGAAGTCTTAGCTGAATTTCCAGAAATAACACAACCTTTGGAAGGATTACCACCATCCAGGAGTTGTGATCATTCCATTAACATACATGAGGGAGCTAGTATACCAAATATTAGACCCTACAGGTATCCCCAATACCAAAAGACTGAAATAGAGAAGATTATACAAGAGATGTTGAGCTCGGGAATCATTCAACCTAGTAACAGCCCCTACAGCAGCCCCATATTATTGGCAAAGAAGAAGGACGGGGGGTGGCGATTCTGCGGGGATTACAGAGCTTTAAACAGAATAACAATACCGGATAAATTTCCAATACCGATTATTGAAGAACTCTTAGATGAACTGGGGAATGCCAGAATTTTTTCCAAGCTAGATCTGAAATCTGGATACCACCAGATCAGAATGAAAGAAGAGGATAGGAAGAAAACTGCATTCAGAACGCATGAAGGCCATTACGAATACCTTGTGATGCCCTTTGGACTAACCAATGCGCCTTCAACGTTTCAGTCACTAATGAATCAGGTATTGAGGCCGTTTCTCAGAAAATTTGCCCTGGTCTTTTTTGATGACATCCTCATCTACAGCCAATCTATTCCTGAGCACCAAGAACACTTGAGAAGAGTACTGTCAGCATTGGAGGAGAATCAGTTGAAGATTAATTTGAAGAAATGTTCATTCGGGCAATCTGAGTTGGTATATTTGGGCCATATAATTTCAGGGCAAGGGGTATCAGCTGATCCAGCCAAAATTGAAGCTATGCTACAGTGGCCTGCCCCTAAGGATTTAAAGGGGTTGAGGGGATTTCTAGGGCTCACTGGCTATTACAGGAAATTTGTAAAAGGATATAGCAAAATTGCTTTTCCTCTTACAAATCTTTTGAAGAAAGATAACTTTCACTGGGATTTAAAAGCAGCACAAGCATTTGAAGAACTGAAGAAGATCATGACAACATTACCTGTTTTGGCCACACCTGACTTCAACAAGATGTTTGTTATTGAGACCGATGCTTCAGGTACTGGACTGGGGGCGGTTTTGATGCAAGAAGGGAGGCCTGTATCGTACATGAGCAAGGAGCTATCACCTAGAAATCAGAAGAGGTCAGTCTATGAAAGGGAATTGATGGCAATTGTACTAGCTATTCAGAAGTGGAGACCCTATCTATTGGGCAGACCCTTTGAAGTCCACACAGATCAGAAAAGTTTAAAGTTTATTACTGAACAAAGGCTCATGGGAGAAGAACAACAAAGATGGACCTCTAAACTGTTGGGTTACAATTTTACCATAAAATACAAACCAGGAGTGGAGAATAAGGCTGCAGATGCTTTATCTAGAAAGTATGCCTTGCAATCACTATCAATTATCAGCTGTCAAGAATGGGATGGACTGGAGGAAGAATTGAGCAAGGATCCTAAATGTCAAGAACTGATTCAGAAAGTAATTTCATATCCAGACCACAACAAGGAATTCCAGATCATTAAGGGCTTACTATATTACAAGAAGAGGTTGGTGTTACCAAAGGGATCTGCCAGAATTCTGAAAATTTTAAAAGAATACCATGATTCGGCTATGGGGGGGCATTCCGGATATTTCAGAACTATGAAGAGGGTGGAAGGGTTGTTTTATTGGCATGGGATGAGAAGTGACATAAAGAGATATGTGGAGGAATGTTCTATCTGCCAGACTAACAAGTACCAAGCTCTCAAACCAACTGGTTTACTGCAGCCCCTACCTATCCCCAACGGTATTTGGACTGATATAAGCATGGATTTCATTGGTGGGTTACCTAGATCCCAAGGAAAAGACACAATATTAGTAGTGGTTGATAGATTCACCAAATATGCTCATTTTATGGCTTTAGCTCATCCCTACAATGCAAAAGAAGTGGCAGAAATCTTCATTAAGGAAGTGGTTAAACTGCATGGATTTCCTAAAACCATTGTCAGCGATAGAGACAGTGTGTTTTTGAGCTCATTTTGGTCTGAAATTTTTAAGCTGGCAGGAACTCAGCTTAAATATAGCACTGCTTACCACCCCCAAACAGACGGGCAAACCGAGGTGGTAAACAGGTGCTTGGAGACCTATTTAAGGTGCCTCACAGGAAGGAAACCGAAGCATTGGAGTCAATGGCTTCACTGGGCAGAATACTGGTACAACACCAACTACCACATATCATTGAAACAGACCCCTTACAAGGCCTTATTTGGGCTGGATCCTCCTGCCATAGTGAGGGGAGATGCAACACTGACTGCTGTAGAAGAAGTGTCCAGACTGACTGCTCAAAGAAATGCAATGTTAGAAGAGTTAAAGGGGAACTTAGCGAGAGCTCAAAACTTAATGAAACAGCAGGCTGACAAACACAGGAGGAATATACAGTTTGCAGTGGGTGATCAGGTGTATTTGAAAATCCAACCCTATAAACTTAAAAGTTTGGCCAAAAGAGTGAATCAAAAGTTGAGTCCAAGGTATTATGGGCCCTTTGAAATAACAGAGAAGATCAACTGTGTAGCTTTCAGACTGAAATTACCAGAAGGCAGTAAAATACATCCGGTATTTCATGTTTCATTGCTGAAGAAAGTGATTTCCCCGACTACTCACTTTCAGGCACTTCCAAAATGTTTGAGTGAAGATATGGAGCTTCAAGTGATACCTGAAGCAGTGAGGGACACCCGGGTGAACCAAGAAGGCAAGGTGGAGGTTCTGATACATTGGAAAAATCTACCAAACTTTGAAGATTCATGGGAATTGCTGCAGATGGTGAAAGAGCACTTCCCAGATTTTCACCTTGGGGACAAGGTGAATTTCCAGGGGGGGAGTAATGATAGG